TTTTTGACGCCGCATTCGTTTTCTCCACCCCAAAATTACCTTGACCTGAAAATTTCAGATCGATCGGAGCACTTTTCAAACCCGGGGATATTTAGCGGCCATCCCCGGGTTTTGCGTTTTCATTTTTTAGCCGCCTGATATAGGTAAAGTGTGTTGAAACCCGGGTAAGATGAACGAGTTTGATTTTCAAATTTTGCACAGCATCATCATTATGGCCAAGGATCATGGGATAATTTTTTCGAAGACAGGGGGGGGGATGGTGACGATCCGTTCCCCCCCCCCCCCAAATAAATTCGGCTTTAGCTCGGAACCCGCCCTGGGTGCATCAGCCAAGTTCATGCAGAAAAGGAGGAAGACTGCGCAGGGCTTTTTACGTTCCTCCACCTTGTTTCCTCGGTGATGAATCTTGTCGCGAGACCTTTGTCGAGACTGCTATCGAATAGCCAAGCACCGAGAAACAATGTGTAGTCGACCTACAAAGATCTTTGAGAGATCTTGAGGGATGTGACACGTAGCTTTACCCTTCCGGCGTATGGAGACCTCATCCAGCCGTTTCTGCTCTCCAAACAATCGTTCCCATCAACGCCCAGGAATTGCAGCTATTCAAATGAACGGCCAACCCTTGGGTGGACCAGCGATCCCAAGGACCACTGTCTCACAAGCGTCATGCAAACTGCGTTGTATCAGCACGACTGGTCCCCATGTCAGCATCTAGAGTGGACATCCAACCCCGACTAAAATGAGACGTTCAACAAGCATATATCCTTGAAAAAATCCGCTACAATCATTCCCGTGCCCCGTGTCTCTCTCCCAAACCCCCGCTCTCTCTTGTCTCCGTCTCCCCTCTCTCCGCGTGTCGGCTATGGGACAGACAGGCAACGCGCGTGCCCGTCATCATGCTTCTCGATTGGTCAGCACGAAAAGCCCCATTAGCCCGACCAGCACATACCTGAGGGGGAGAAACATCGCGAGTATCAAGTGTTGAGTAAAAGCATGATTTTACATGGGGTTTCCGATCATTTTTCGCCAACAGCAGTCCAGGTGGACGAAGGAAAGAAACTTCAGTAAAAGGGCACACGTGCGACAGGGGTGTGCGAGGGAAAGGTGGATCAGAGCGTCAGCGCGCAAGCAGCGCGAGTAGCAAACAAGGCGTATTTAGCACAAAAATTGGAACATCATTGAGTGGGCTTGCGATGATCCGTATCGGGCTAGATGACACACTCTGTTACACCTCGGCTAATGCTCTTAATTTTGGCAATGTGATGATGATTCCGTGTACAGCTGCTGTCGCTGCATGGCTATCATGCTATCACTGCCTCGCTGTTGTAGCAGTTCACAAAAATCTGACCACGAGACATATGCCTACGAAACTTCGTATCGTAGAGACAACAGGACTTCAGAGCTTCCCTGCAAAGCGAGCTCTGCTGCTACTGCCACCGAATCACTGATCCTGGGGTCGTGTACCTTTGATGTTTACGACAAAAAAGAATGAACAAGCACCTTGGAGAGAGCGGCGAAAACGTCCTAAACGCGCCATAACCGAACCAAATAACGCTCGTGTTGGCGTTTCGACATGCACCAAAGCACGGCTTGTATGCGATTCTCACTTTAGCGGTGGATAGTCGTTGAGGATGATGGTGACCATCCCCACGTAACGAAGCGTGCCCCGCGCCCTCCCCAGAATGTCTTCCCGACTTAGCCACATCTGCCCCGGCACATACAACCCCCGGTCGTTCACCTGTACCAGTAGACAGCAACATGGGTAAAACCAATGGTGCCTCAGCCTTAGCTGTGCTACCATAGCAGTATCACTACAAAGGATGCATTCGAAGGCACGAGTGATCACGCCGCCCGACGCTGCACCATGAGCGATATGCGACCACAGCCGTAATCGCAAAGAGAGGCACAGCGGGTGGAGGTAAGGTACGCGGGAGGCTAAGCGAGTGCCACAACGCAGCGGGGCGGCCACAAGGATGTACAACCCAGAAGAGAAGAGACCACAACCACAGCCGCAAAAGAACCATGGACCCCCAATCCTTCCCCCCAAGACCCGGCGTCCACCGTCCCGGCTTTGTATTTCAGGGATGCAAGGTCGACGGTTTAACGACTGCGGCATGCACGGCAATGAGTGCGCCCCCCAGTAGGAAGACTGATCCCATATCGGAGCAGACGACCCGCTGTGTGATGCCTTGGTTTGTGACTGGTAGCAATGCCTCCAACCTCTCGCCAAGTAATCTTCGAGCCAACGGCAGCGGAGAGATACGCACCTTGTTGCTGTCTCCTTTCGTCAGCACTGATATCGACCCGTCAGGCCTACCACGCCGACGGCAAACACACCAGGAGCAACACAGCAGCACGCACACGCACACAGGCGGGAGAGGGGACAGAAAACGCAGTCGTGCAACGAGAAAGTCAGCCACGACGAAACGTTCATGGGGACTTGGCTACCGATGGTGCGAGTATGTATAAACTGGCAAGACGACAGCAGTAATGTATCCACTCGCGGGGAACAAACCACTACAGCGTGATCAAAACCAACAGCCATCACGATGAATGTAAACAATAATAGCGACAAAGCTAGAGGGGGGAACACGAAACTCTTCCACTCATGCGCTCTCAACAAAGAAACGCATGCATGTGCAACTCCCGACACTCACTTTTCGTGAACGTTCATCACCCTGTGAACGATCGGAATCTCCCTGTCCTTGATCTTGAAGACAACCACCTCGCCCGCCCGAAGAGGTTCATCCCCGTTGTGGAGGAAGAGAATGTCTCCACGCTGAAACGCCGGCTCCATAGACCCGCTACGGGATCGATCGATTGAGATAAAACACGAAAGGCGAGGGCGCGGGGGTGCAGACCGGGCGCACATCAAGAACTTGTGCGCTAACTTACTGTGTGAATCATCATTGAAATGGTAGCATCTCGTAAGAAGAGGGCGGCGATGTCAAGACGGCGAAACAGTAAAACGGTCCCCACCTCTACATCCTAAATACTCACCTATTCCAGATGCAAACCGCACGACTGCTGTCGCGCCTCGCTGTTGTTGTTGTTGTTGTTGTTGTTGTTGTTGTTGTTGTTGTTTTCACTGGTAAAGCAGTTCCGGTTTCTGCTCAGTACCTTCTAGCATCCGTACCGCTCCAACTGACGCGGATGCCTTCCGAGGTCACAGGCCAACTAACCAAAATGGTACACACTTGTAGAAATCAAAGAACGGAAATACACTGGGCCTAGAAATCCTCAAGCACGATAGCAGATCACCAGAGCTAACCGGGAGACGAGCGAACTCGGAAAAAGAGAAAGAGAATAGAACAGGAAGGCCCCATCAACACAACATGAAAGAGAGTCAATCGCTCCTGCTGGGTACGCGATGCAAACATAAACAGTATAACAAGTGCCGGGCACGCGATGCAGAAAATAATCAAAGCTCACAATCAAGATGGACCAATACTAAGAGTTGCCTGGTCCTATGTTTGTACCCCTATTACGCCGAGGAATATTCGCAGCCGGGGTTACACGGGCCGAGGCATCACCCAGACGTACGCCCAACAGGTGCGGGTGACTCCAGCATCACTCCTGAACAACTTAAACAGATGCAAACACGAAGTCAAACAACATCATCACATAGAGGGCAATGGAAGGGGGGGGGGG